ACCTGTTTCCCTCCCTTCCCATAGCATTTTAGGATTGTAGATACCTTAATCTAATCGTCATAAACAGTTCCCATACTCCGGACTACTCACCTTTACTACTTCCTTCGTCATTTCCTACGTCGCGGACCTGTTTCCCTCCCTTCCCATAGCATTTTACGATTGTTAGATACCTTAATCTAATCGTCATAAACAGTTCCCACACTCTAGGCCGCTCACCTTTACTGCTTCCTTCACGACTTCCTACGTCGCGGACCTGTTTCCCTCCCTTCCCATAGCATTTTAGGATAACAGATACCTCTAATCGTCATAAACAGTTACCACACTCCGGACTGATATTTACCACAAAACTAATAGCAATAACAACAATTAAAAGAAATAATCTGCTTGGAATAATTCAGTAAGGCCGACAGAAATTATGCGAATCGGTGTATTGTTAATCAACGCTTAATGGTATTAATCGGACTCCTTTTTATTTTGTACTGTCTTTTGTAAATAGGCCATATGTGCATGTGCAAGCTGAGGTGCCCGTGGGTACAGAATGTCAAGTCGCATACGCCACGATTTTTTGTTTACATCTACGTTGTTATCTCGTAACCATCATGGCAACTCATAAGACTCATGTTAAACATTGCAAATTTTATGTCAGTCTTAAATTGTACAGGTATCATCAAATTGAAATTTGTTTGTTTCGAAACATCAAAAATATTTGTTGAAATACCCCTGGTAAGTTTGGATTCAATATGTTCAGCCGTTATTGAGTTAATTGATTACATAGTTTGCATAAGGTCCGATCTCAAAGAGCTTCGCTCGCTCCGCTCAATAATCTTTGCTTAATAGTAACGACTAACTGATGTTTTCCTCTTGTACTGTATTTGTAATTTGCTAGTATACTGTGGGTAGTTGGCTTATTATGAACAAATGCTACAACTTCAAGCGGTGGGGCACACGGAAGATTTCTCAGGTGCCGTTTGACGTCACTAACTGCTGCGTCTGAAGAAACAGACAATTTTATAATTTTCTATTATTAAATTAAACTGTCATAACCTAACCAAACTAACCAAACGTGCTGATAATGGAAAAATCGAATAAAGGTTTACCAATCTAAAAATAGTTTTGTTCATAATTTAAAATTATAATTGCCTAAAATTCAATTTTATAATTTGTTAATTATAAAATTAAACTGTCATAACCTAACCAAACCAACCAAACTTGCTGATATGAAAAAAATGTTGGTAAAAAGTTAGTGCCACCGGCGGGATTCGTACCCGGAACAATCTGATTATCAGCCCACAACGCTATCCATTGCACCACCAAGGCCGCTGGCTCAAATCCGTATCGTTGCGGTATTGGTGTTCCCTCAAAGTGACGTCAGCAGTTAGTGACGTCAAGCGGCACCTGAGAAATCTTCCGTGTGCCGTTTCGCAACTTCAAGTCTTTTGTTTACTTTATCCTTATTGTTATTTAATTCATCCAACATGGTTTAGCAACCCATATGACTAATGTTAAAAAATGTGATTTTCAGTTTCATTTTTCTAGGTAATAAGATTTTTGTTGGCACTTCTAACTGCAGTAAACTCGTTTTTAGGCCAGGAATAAACTATTTGCAACATTTGAAGAAAATCGTCGGAGCCGTTTTCGAGATCTTGGTGCAAGCATACATACAAGCAAAAATTGCTCGTATTATAGTATAGGATAGGATAGGATAGATTTAGGCTATATTAGATTAAGAAATTTTATTGTATTTTTATTTATTTATATTTAAGTTTGTCAGGTTAAGTGTAAGAGAGGGCCGGCCCATGTGGCCCTAACTTTGCCTGGTTAAATAAAGATTTTTTTCATTTTTCATTTCATTTCAAACCTAGGTACCTACTCATTAAAATTAAAGTTATTTAAAAAGGAAATAAATCTGACGATTATCAGGGAATATTTTAATAGAAATCCAGCCAGGTAAATGGAAATTTTTTTAGGCAGCAGGTTTGCTGCGGCAAGGGTATTATCTGTGGTTATACAGTACTGCATGCTATCTACAAAGCAACATTTTGGAAACTATGTACCTACAATCTATAATATAATACGATGATTTCTATAAACAGACTTATTATGTACACGACTAATTGTTATCATAGATCAAACATAGTCCCTTATTTTCATCAACCAAATTCTATGTCTGGAAAGGGGTTAAGATTCCGGGGGTAAAATGCCGTGGGTAAAAATTCGGCCCACACTCTAGGTTTTAAAAAATAGACAGGATCAGAAATTTTAACATGTGTTTTTCAAGGTCCATTTACTTCCGAGCAGTAGGATTTGCTCCTAAGTAAAAGGTAATCGTTATTAATACGGTTTGTTTGAAGGATATGCTTTTACTTTTACCTTTTACTAGAAGCAAATGCTTATGCTCCATACCTTTTCCTTTTGAGAATATCCTTCTTTTTATTAATACGGCTCATTAAGTTTTACACTGTAACATAATTACATAGGTTACTAAGCAAAAATTTCAACTTTTAAGGTGGTGTGAATAATCTTTCAACGTGTTTTTTATGCAAATCTATTAAGACCAATCTCAAATTGATATGTATTTTTCTTAGGTAGTTATTTAAGTTATTTTTTTACATTTATTAAAAATTAAAACAATTGTATTTGTATAAAACCTTATATTACATATTAAAATGAAGTACTTAAACTAAAGCTATTTTTCTACAATTTCCGTAGTATCTCTCTTTACAATTTCATCATCACAATAATTAATCTCAGACGACTCATTAACAATTATATTATTCTTAGCAACTTGTCCATCTTTACTGTTTTTGTCCAAGTTGGTGTTCAAGCAGGATTCCCCTTTACAAACCTAAAACCTTGCATATTGCAGAACAGACAACACCAATCTTAAAGCACGAACAATGTGGTGCAAAAACACCTTTCATACATACTGACGTTTGCAAATTGTATCTTTTCCTCAAACTTATTTTCAATCAATACAAGAACGGTTATCTTTCGTGGTTATGACGACCAGGACAGCACTAAGACATCAGAGCAGCATTGTCGGTACAAGCATTTTTGTCCTGAACAATGGGAACGAGGTTTATGGGGTAAAAATTGGGTTTTCTTATTTACTTTACCTTCAAAACACAAAGTTTCCCAATTTTTCTCTAGAACATTTTAAATAGTTTAAAAACAAATAATTTGTTATATTAACGTATTTTTGTATGGTTATTAGTTACGGATATAAATACTAAAATTTTGGGGACTCATCGGATCTTCATTTATAATATTATTAGTAACTCACAGGTGAAATTTCATGAATGGACAAATTTTGTTGTTTATAAAACCCTATTTTACCTGTACTAAAATGGAGGACAAAATAAATACCTAAAAAAAATGTTGTCAACTTTTTTACGACTTACTAAATCTCTCCTTAAGACTTGTAGACTTTCTTAGCCGGTAACTTAGATCTTTAAAAATACATTATCGAATGAATATGCACATTATTTTCAAGGTTATACTTCAGTAAGTTAGCTTCTTTCTTTATTGATTTTGAATTTAGCCAGTTGAAGTAAAAGAGCCATAAGAGCCAAAATGTTATAAAGAGTTTTGTGATTTTGGGTGATCGCCTATGTTTTTGCCACTAATGTACACTTGGCCTATTTTATTTGTGAAAACTATTTTAATTAAATTGTATTCCATTCATACACTTTTGTTTCTTTGGTACTCATAAACGAGCCGAGCTAACACTTTATCAAACTAACTTTCACCAGAGCAAAATTAATTGGTATATTAATCAAACTAATATACCATAGGTAGAGCAATTGCTGCCTTTTCTCGAGTTTTTCAAAGAATTAGGCCCGTACAGGCAATATATTTGTTCATTAAGTAAGTAGGCCTATTATTACAAGTTCCAATGGGCGGAAAAGCAATATTGTTTGGAGGAGATTTCAACCAGGTGTTGCCTGTTGTTCCAAGCAAAAAAGTATTAAATAATAGCCTAGCATGCACGGTAGTAAAGGGAGCATCCAAGGGAGCATCCATATAACAGTAAAACCTAGAGGTAGTTTCCGTTTCTTAAAACTAACTAAAAATATGCATGTCGAAGATGCTGATGAAAAGTAATTTTGTGATTGGTTTCGATAACTGGGTAATGGAACCCTAACGAGTCGCAAAATAGTTAGTAATCAGGCATTGATTAGGCTCTTTTTGATAGATCTAGAACATGTAAAGTCAATCGCACCTTTAGGAGGAATACCACCTCATAAACTTACACTAGGCTAATAATAGTTTTTTAGTTGATCAGACACAAATCTAAGTTTGGTCAATGTGACGCCTTTAATTTACACTAGTTTTGTTAAAACTTTACAAAAGGAGCATAAACTTAGAAATAATAACTGTTTCTGGGTGCTAATTTAGCAGTTTAGACCAAGAACTAAGCTTATCTCAACACATCTTTATTTGCCTTTTCATATTTGACCTAGACAATATGAAATATTTCAATCAGCGAAGCCTTTTTATCATCACTAACCAAAAGACCAAAGCCACCTTAGTAAACCAATATTTATTCACACACATGTTTGCTGCCTTTAACAAAGTTAAAACTATGGAGTATTCAAATTAATGATTAAAAATAACATCAACAAAAGCAAACATACAAACAACAAACTGTTTTTTACACAAAAGATATGTTGTTCTGGGATATCATATCTATCCTGACACATAGATAATTTGATTCTGTGTGAATGATTTGTAGAGAATGAAATTAAATGGAGATTATAAGAGGGAGAAAAAAATGAACACACTTTTGGGATAGGAGAACAAGCACTGTTTTATTTACTTTTTGATACACAACATGTGTTAGCAATAGAGAATAATTTAATTTGATTAAGAACACATGTTAGTTGCAAGGAAAAGAGATGTACATTAAATAAAACATAGAGTGTTAAATAATATGAATGGTTAAAGTTTACTGAACATACCGGGGGCCTTGAATCCCCAGTGGATTCAACAAAAACAGTTCACGAATCCACAGTTGGCAGGGGAAACACTTTGTGGGCAGATCTTCTGAGGTTGCCACTTGATGTTTTTAAGTCTATCACTCGCACAACCCCATCAGCCCCTGGATGAACTGCTGTAATTCGAGCGAGAGGCCACGAGAGAGGTGGTGAGTCCATATGTACCAGAACAAGGTCACCCACTTCAAGATTTTTTGATTTCCGAGTCCACTTGGTACGTTGTTGCAAGTTGTTTAAGTATTCTAGGTGCCATCTATGCCATATGCGTTGATGAAATGCTTGAACTAGCTGCCATTGCTTGAGACGGTTTTCAGGAACTGTCAGGAGATTAGGTTCAGGTACTGCTGTGAGGGGTGCACCAATCAGGAAGTGTCCGGGAGTCAGTGCTGCGAGATCCGAAGGATCATTTGAAAGAGGTGTCAGTGGTCGGGAATTGAGCATTGCTTCGATTTGGGTCAACAATGTGATGAATTCAATGAGTGTTAAGACTGAGTTTCCCATTACTCGACGGAGATGATGTTTCACATTCTTTACAGACGATTCCCACAATCCTCCTTGATGCGGAGCGGCTGGTGGATTAAAATGAAAATTGATGCCTTTAAGTGAAGAGAATCGTTGAATCTTCCGTTTGGAGTCTTGACAATAAAGAGATTTTTCAACAATCTTGCGTAGGGTAGAGTCAGCACCAATGAAGTTGGACCCACAATCCGAGTAAATGTCGGAAGAATGTCCTCTGCGAGATACAAATCGAGTCATTGCAGCAATGAAAGATTCAGTCGTTAGGTCTGTTACTACTTCCAAATGTACAGCTTTCGTGACGAGGCAGATGAAAGTACAAAAGTATGACTTTATGTGTCTCACTGCCTTGAGGTTGAATATTTTTACAGTAAAAGGTCCTGCATAATCTATGCCGGTGTGGAGGAAAGGTCGAGCAGGAGTTACACGAGACTGAGGGAGATCAGCCATGAGAGGACACACATTTCTAGGTTTGACTTTGAAACATCTGACACATTTATGGATACGAGAGCGTATGGCACAACGGGCAGACAGTATCCAAACATGTTTGTAAAGTAATGCTTGAGTAAGCTGAGGGCCTGAATGAAGATTGTAGATATGGTAGTGGTCAATGAGGAGATTTACCACATGATGCTTTTTTGGCAGAATAATGGGATGTCGAGCATCTTCAGGAAGTGATGTCTGAGAAAGACGTCCTCCAACACGCAATAATCCAAATGAGTCAATGAAAGGTGAAAGACGTTGTAAACGAGTGGAGCAAAATGATTTCCGTTTGAGGCAGTTGATTTCTTCTGTGAATACTTCTTTTTGTACAAGTTTAAAAATGTGATATTTTGTGTCTTTCAGTTCCTGTGTTGAGATGAAACCTTGGCGTTTTTCAGAACCTTTACAGTTGTGTATGAAACGAAGGACGTAAGCAAAAATCCTAAGAAGTCGTTCCCATGAAGAATATTTAATGAGAAGATTGGTCAGCGTAGATTCAGTGGTAGTTGACACAAGTACAGTTAGAGGAGTGTGTTTTACTTCATCTAATGTTGAGATATCTGTAGGTGAAAAAGTTACATCAGGCCAGTTTGAAGGGGGAAGAGAAAGCCAAGAAGGCCCTGACCACCAAAGGGGGTGAGACACAAGCTCAGTGGCTAGAATACCTCTTGAAGCACAATCAGCAGGGTTTTCCTTGCTAGGGATGTAACGCCAACAGTGATAGGGGACAAGTTCTTGTGTTTGGGCGACTCTGTTAGCCACGAATGTTTTCAGCCTGTAAGATGGAGTTTGAAGCCATGTCAAGGTTACTGAAGAATCACACCACAAATAACATTGGTTGAGTGAAATTAAGGGTTTGAATGAAGAACAACAGAAGTTTACGAGTTGAGCTAATAAGTGGGCAGCGCAGAGTTCTAATCGTGGAAGAGTCACCTTCTTGAGAGGGGCGACTCTAGTTTTAGATAAAACCATACGTGTAGTCACTTCTCCGTTGGGTTGGGAACATCGTACATAGACAACAGCTGAAAACCCACGTTCAGAGGCGTCTGAGAAGCCGTGAGGTTCAACACTAGAATTTGGAGAGATTTTCAATGCTCTAGGGATCTGAATGTCTGCAAGTGCTGGTATCGCTGAGATAAAGTTACTCCAAATTGCACTAAGTTCTGGAGTGAGAGGTTCATCCCATTGTAGACCGGTCGTCCAGAGAAGTTGAATAAAACATTTCGCTGTCATAGTACATGGGCTAAGAAATCCACAAGGATCGTATATTTTAGCGACTAGACTGAGAACGTGACGTTTAGTTAGTGTTTTTGGCGGTAGGTTGAGATGAAATGAAATTGTCCGAGTCTGGAGACCAGTGTAGGCCAAGAATTGAGAAATGGGGATCAGGTGTATTTTCAAGAAAGACTGGAGAGTCTTTATGAGTGTCTGGAAGAGACTGAAGAAGCTCGGGAGAATTTGAAGTCCATTTTCGAAGTTCAAAGTGTCCACGGTTGAGTAGTTGAATGAGTTGATTTTGAAGGTTCTTTGCTTCATCTACCGTGTCTGCTCCAGTTACAATGTCGTCTACGTAAGTCTGAGTGCGCAAGACATTTGCTGCTTCAGGGAAGTCTTTACCTTCGTCTTCAGCTAACTGGTGGAGGGTACGAATCGCTAAGTAGGGTGAGCTATTTACTCCAAAAGTCACTCGAGTGAGTTTGTATGTGGATATATCTTCAGAGGGATTGTCACGCCACAAGACGAGTTGGAACAGTTGATCGGAAGGTTTGATTAAGATTTGAAGATACATTTGGCGAATATCGCAAGTGAAAACGATATTGTGTATTCTGAAATGCAGCAGTATATCACAAATGTTGGTCTGTAATTTAGGGCCGGTCATGAGAGAATCATTGAGGGAAATTCCAGAGCTGGTTTTGCAGCTTGCATCATAAACGATTCGGAGTTTAGTTGAGGTACTGGATGGTTTCACAACTGCATGGTGTGGCAAGAAATAGTGAGGAGAGTTGATATCTAGATGAGGTAGTTTTACCATATGACCTTGAGAGATGTGTTCATTTATATTGTCAGAGTAAGCTTTATACAAATCAGGAGAGAGTGTAAAACGTCGTTCAAGTGAGTGAAAACGTCGTTCTGCGATGAGTTTGGAAGATCCTAAAGGTGGATGATTTTCTTTAAATGGTAGCTGAACTAAGTAACGGCCATTTTCGTCCCTAGAGTGGGTAGCTTTAAACAGATCTTCACACTGTTGCTCTTCAACCGATATCTTTGAGGGTACAGATAATTCCTCTAATTTCCAAAATTTCTGTAGAGAGTTATGCAATTCGTTGTCAACCGTTGAGAGCAGAGAGATGGATGGAGTGTTGGCAGGCTGGGAATCGGTTGAACAAGGTGCATTCCCCATAACAACAAAGCCAAAGTGAGTTCCCATCATGTTAGGCATGTTAGGGCCGAGAGAATAGTTTTCATTCGTTAAAAGAAGAGGGAAGAGAGAAGCTCCGATCAGCATGTCAATGGGCCCTGATAAGTGGAAGCTGGGATCAGCAAGGGGGTAAGGTTTTACTTTCAATAGAACTCTTTGTGATATTTGAGATCTAGGGAGATTGACAGATATTTTATCAAGTATGTGCACTTCATGGTTGGATGCAACTAATTTTCCTGCCAGTGTGTTAACAGTGAGGTTCACAATACCCTTTGTGAGAGTTGGAGATTGAGAAAGACCAACTACTTGTAAGTTGGATTTGAAACGAGGTGCATTCAGTAGTTGAGCAGCTTTTTCACTAATAAAATCACACATGCTGCCACTATCAATCAATGCTCTGAACACATGAGAAACGTTATTTTGAGCAGTAACTTTAACCAGTGTTGTGCCTAAAATTACAGTTTTAGGGATTTGATTAGCAGGACTGGCTTCCTGTGAGCAAAGAGATACGGTAGGTTTTTCATTCGAAACATGAGTGGTTGATGGTTGTGATGATGTAGAACCTTGAGATGTCTTGTCATGTTCAAAATGAAGTAAGGTGTGATGACGTTTGTGGCATTTGAAGCAAGATGCTTTAGACTTACATGTTTTAACATCATGTTTTCCGAGGCAAGAGACACATCTGTTGTTATCCTTTACGGTTTTAAAACGTTCATTTGAAGAAAGAGAGAGAAAGCTAGGACAAGCATAAACCTTGTGGCCAGTTGATGAGCAGACAAAGCAGGGAAATGAGAAAGGATTTTTTGAGTTGTCTTGATTTGATGGAGTTGGAGTAGAGACCATTGTAACTTTCTGAGCTTGAATGAAAGAGGGCTTGGATGTGAAAGATTTGGGTTTAAAATTTGAATTGTGGTTGTTCGTACTTTGAGCAAACTTGGTATGTAACACAGCGTCTTCCATTTGGTTACACTCTTGATTAAGAAACTTGACTATTTCGACTACTTCTGGTAGAGAATGTGTTTCGCATTTTATATTAATTCTAAAAGCCTCTAGTTGTTTTAGAAGGTCATTGTCTAGTTTTCGTAAGAGTATGGTGGACAACAGAGGGTTAGAGTTAGAAGTAATGTCACAGTCAAGAGCTTTAAGTGCTTCTGTGTGTTCATAAAACAAGTTGAGGAACGTTCTGAGACATTTGTTTGAGGTAGAGGAAATGTCCGGTAGGTCGATCAGTTTGTTTAGGTGAAGTGTAGTTAACCTTCGGGTGTTGTGGTATCTGTCTCTGAGGAGCTGGTAGGCAATTGAGTAATTGGCTGAAGTGATACTGAAAGCTTTTACGAGATTTAGTGGTTCATTTTTGAGCACGCTGAGAAGATATTGAAATTTAGTGACGTTTGAAATGCTTTCATTCAGATGGATGCTAGTGTCAAATAAGTTGATGAAACTTACCCACTGTAGAGGAGAACCATCAAACGTGATGAGGTCTAGTTTTGGGAGTCTTACGTGAGCAGATGATGAAGCTGAGATGTCACTAATTCTTGTTGAATCTTTACTTTCTTCTGGAACATCTTGCGGCTGCTGTTGGAGAAGGGCTTCAATCCGAGACTTGGCTTCGACGAATAGCAGTCGCAGTTTGTCTTCAGTGTCACTTACTGCATCCAAATCTAATTCTTCTGATATATGTTCCAAGGCTCTTTCCAGGTAATTTTCATAGGCTTCATGTTTCTTTTCTAACTGGTTCGAGAAGTTGTTTAAAGTTCTGATTTGTATCACTGACAAGATTGAGGGGAAAAGTGTTTCAAGCTCTTGTACAGATTTGAGAATCTTTTCAAAAGAATTTTGTATGAGAAGGGTTGATTTGTTGAAGTTTGAGAGTGAAATTGATCTGGTAGCCATATTGGACAAAACAGATGGAGTGAAACTTTACTAAGAATTAGATAGAGTTTGTGACACTATGAGAGTGGGGAGAAACATAAAGAGATTGAATGATAAAATAAAGATATTTCGATAGCTTGAAAGTGTTCTGAAAATTGAATCCAAAGACTGAAATTCAAAATCCAGGCTCGATTAGGACCAATGAATGATTTGTAGAGAATGAAATTAAATGGAGATTATAAGAGGGAGAAAAAAATGAACACACTTTTGGGATAGGAGAACAAGCACTGTTTTATTTACTTTTTGATACACAACATGTGTTAGCAATAGAGAATAATTTAATTTGATTAAGAACACATGTTAGTTGCAAGGAAAAGAGATGTACATTAAATAAAACATAGAGTGTTAAATAATATGAATGGTTAAAGTTTACTGAACACTGTGTTTGTTTAAATATTACAATAATTTGTTTTACACTTGAGCTTTTTAGGGACTTACGTCCCTACAAGCCACTAGTCTATATATTAATTACGTAAGCCGATTCTTTGCGTCAAAATTGTGGGCGACTGGGAAGTCGTAGAACGACGGAAAAGGGCTCAAATTAAAGGTCTCTATCCCGTGACGACGGGAAAAATAGTAAAACTCCCAAAATTTTAACACAAAACTAGATATAACGTAAAAAGTTCTCCATAAGAATAGCATCAGAAGCCATTAGTAGAGGTAATAGGAGAATATGACCCCACTTTCGGCGTTTTTGGGCCCAGAACTTTTAAATTTTTTTTGCGAAAAAACACCCAAAATAGGTATAATATGATGGTTTTACCCCACTTTTGGCGTTTTAGAGGCTATATGGGGGCATTTTTTGGTTAAAAATGTTATTAATACTGAAAATCACACCTGGAAAATGGTGAGCTTTTTTTGGCCACTTTTTTTAAAGACCCGGCTCTCGGCACGCGAACTCGGGTGCGCTCCCGACCCATAGGCACACTTCTGATCCCCAGCGATGACAAACTAAAAGTCTTATGAAAAAATGTTTGAAACAAAAATTGAGGAACATCTAATCATCTATACTTCTTCCACTGAAAGTTTTTCTCTGATTGAAAAATAAAAAAATCCTCGCTTACTCACTTTTTCATGTTTACTCAAAGTAACCTTTTTATATTTTCCATAATTAATAATTACACACTGGCACAAATTAAATTATATTTATATTGTATTAAATAGTAGTTCATGTAGAATTTTAATATATAAATTTCATGCTATAAATATTTTTATTAGAAGCTAGACAAACATGTAAGGGATAGGAGGCGCATCACTTTGAACATCGTCACGCCCCCGACAGTGCCGTGCTCGCAACCCATCGCAACACCTAGAGTTTGAAACTATTATATAACACATTTACATACAAAAGAAACTGGTAAATGGTTTTGAATTTTTTTAACTTTTTATGCTGTATTATTATGTTGAAGGCCATTTTGGTTGCTGGAATTTTAGCCGTTTTGTTGTATATCAAGCCTTTTTGAGATAAAAGCATTTTTAAACAATAAAGCAGACCTTTATTTATTAATGCTGATATTATATTACAATGCATTGGCATACAAATGAAAATGGTTTGATTTATTTGTACTCATATAAAATAATATAATTCTTTTGAGTTATTGGGACCTCTGGTGATTAAATCACAAAATTAGAACATTTATAATGGACTTTTAAAATAATGGAATCAAGTATAGACTTATAACATTTTTATGATAACTGTTTGATTTATTTGTACTCATTTAAAATAATGTTAAAATAGTATTTGATTTTTTATGTTGTACTAGCAGAGTACCCGTCCTTCGTACGGGGTTGGCATAGAAGTATAAAATGCTTATTGCAGTTACGGTAGAGGACACGGTTTAAGGAAATTTGGTCTTTAAATTTATACGTTATCCTATAGTGTAGCACACATCTACCATAGCCCTAATTTTCTACAACTGCACCTAAACCATGGAAAAATTAAAGTTTTCATTGTGTACCACAACTTTTTGTTGCTAGTTGGTTCAAATTAGCTGTTGTAATAAATGCAAAAAACATAATAGTGCTGCACCCTGTTGGTAAGCCTTACTTTTAACGCTATTTAATATCATAGAACCAACTTGTTCAGTTGAAACGGCTGACAAAATTCTTTTATTCCCTTAATATGAATACTCATAAGGCTAACATTAGAAAATCCAGAGCCAGAGCTACTGGGACCGATCCTGAAAGTGTTTTTGAGGTAAGAATATGTCTATATATTAATCGGGAATGTCAGCTATCATCACACCAAATTTCAACCTTATTGGTTTAGTATTTATTTAAGTGTATTTGTCACATGCAAAAGAGACAATGTTGGTTCTTTGAAAATACCAAATGGTATCACTCCTACCATTTAATTCAGAAACAAAATATAACTGTATAACTTAACTCGATAATAGTACGTTTCGGTTAACTAATACCGTTCATACTTATTTAGGCTACCTACGATACAAAACCAATGATAGATTTTAAGGTACAGTAAAAGAACGTGTTTAATGGTTTGCACTGTAAACAAAAAAAACAACACAACAGTTACAAACCGAAAAATAGAAAAAATGGAAAGTATAAATAAATATGGAAAATAGGGTAATTTTATACAACAATATTTTAGTGAAATTATAATCAGGAAAATGGAAATTCACTCAGTCCATAGACTTGCTGCAGCAGGGGGATTATATTGCTGTTTACACAGAAATAAATCAAAAAAATAAACCTCATAAAACTCAGGATAATGGCCTGGCAATGATTATAGAATCTTAATTATTTCTTATATCCATGAATGATTTATTTTACAACGAATTATTCCCTGTAAAATATTATTACAGCATTTCACAAATATTAGTACAAACTCAGAATAATAGATCATAAACATAAACAAATGAAGTAACTGAAAGAATCATAAGCTAAAGAAATTACATTAACATATGGTTTGACAGCTCCATTTAAGTAATGTTAAATAATGTTTACATTCGGGCTAGTGACATCATTATTTAAAATTTATTATCCTTACCCTCTCTGTTCTAATATTCGTGCAGTATTTAATATGTTTGAACCAGCTGTGTGGAATTGTGAAATCAAAATTCATTTGACAGTTAGTTCTGCTTGTTTACATTTTTAAACTTTGCAGGTTTGTTTTTTGTTACCATGGATACCATAAACCAACATTTACTTTTAAATCTCTCACCTCAAATTTTTGAAAGCCCACGGGGCAGAGCCCTAGGACAATATCGAAGCGGCAATAGTTCTATATGTATCCTCGGAGCTGTAGCTTCATTTGGGTGCAATTTGAGCCCAGTAGGTTCAGTAGTTTTTGAGATTAGCTCATACAAACACACAGACACCACCTCTTCTTTATAATAGTATATAGATATAGATATAGATTATTGTTTTTTATCAAAAGTTGAAACCAATGTAGTGAGCCTAAATGTTTATTTACTGTATATCAAGCCAATAGATAGAATAGGACAAAGAGGTGTTTTTGGTGTTTTACCTATGAGAATAACATGGGGAGATTTTAAGCCACTTTTTAAAAATCGTGCTTACTATTTATACATTTCTATACAAATGTCCAACTCCAAAAAATATTTTCAATCCCCATTAATGTCTGTATCATGTGAGATTTGTACCAATTGGTTTGAAATATTTATAAATATAATGTGTTGCTGGAATCACCTTAAATGGCAAGAAACACATAGTCTTGGGACCTCTGGTAAAATTTTTGGATTTTTTCTAGTTTGGATTAAATATTTGTGAAAAATTGAAAAAATATGTTTTTTACTCAACTATTTTAGGGTCTTGAAACATGTATTACCGAGGAATCAAGCAAATATTTCGTGCCGAAATTATATTTTACCTTACGTGAGGACTTGGAATCACTATTTAAACTTAGTCCTGCTCCACAGTATTATTGCAGGCTTGCTTCTCGTCCCAAGTGGTGAATTGTGTACAGTTTATGCGTGGTGCAAAGACTGGGTTTTCTTTTTAGTTGTGACCAGCTCATTCCTAAGATGTTAGATGGTATCCACTTTGCCTCTGAACATAAGCAAATTGTAATCTTCAGTTTAGGACTTAAAATTAATGTCAGATGCGATGTCACTTTGATCGGATGTTTGGGTTGTGATGAGCTCAACCCCTATCACCAATATCAGCATAGATCCATTGAACTATTATGCGTTATTGTACTTTGTGCTGATTAATATGTGTTTGACACAACACACAATCCCAGTTGGTAGTTTAGGTGGTTAAAGTAGAAGTAGGGAGCATTGATTTTCTACAATCATGATGAGATATCCAGCCAGAGCCTCAGACTGTAATAAAAAAATAGATGAAAATGCAAACTCTAAAGGCCCTGACCATGTTTCATACTTCCTAGTTAAAACAACCTTTACTCGGAATATTGTATATAAATTGTTTGTATACATAAGACTCTTGTAGTGAATGTACTCTTCGATATAAAGACAAAATAAAGATGAAAACTACTTTATGCAAAGAAGAGAAAGTGATTGTGAAGGGTAGCTACAAACAATCACATTTTAGTGAGCAATGAAAGTTGCTATAATTATTGGGATTGTTTTTGGGTAAGTTTATATATATATGTATTGTGTTTACAGGAATTAATCATAGTGGGGATGCCATTTACATCGAGACATATCGATTTAGTTAAAGTGATAAAACGAAGACCATAGATAGTGGTGGATAAAGATTTTATTTGTTGAGCAATCGTGAGAAGGAGTTTCTTGTTAAACAATAACCTGGAAACCAATACAACATAATGCATTGTCATCCCTCATTGGTATTGTACCTTACAAGCTCTGTTGTTCTTTACTCATTTAAAAAAAAACATATAAATTATAAAATAAGCCATTTGTTGTTTATTTTCAATTATTAACTGGAAACTATAGGTCTATATTACTGTATGAACATAATTTATGTATTTCATATACGTAAAAACAATGAGACCATGC